CTACATTTTTATGCCTTCTCTCTTGCCTTTGTCAAAAGCATAACATAGAGAATGAATGCTCTTTGACTTAGTGTATGCCATCGTTAAAAGCGTCAGATGCAAATTCTTAATAAGAATATGAGGAAGCTCCTGCAGCAATAGAGTAAAAATACCTGAGCCCTGGTTGTCCGTGTTTTTCTGATTTATGCAGGTTAGTTGGAACCAACTGCAAATGTCTCATCTCCTTTTGGACCAAGAATCAGTAGGGGGGAAAAGCCAGGGATTATTACATGACTACCCTCTGGGGAAATGTTTTTATCAAGATTCCAGATAATGCAATTACTTCTGTAAACCAAAATCTTGAAGTCTTTGTGGCAATGCTGGAGTTTTAAATTTGAAGTACTACTCATGCTACATTCACCCACTTATGGGGTTAATCCACTTGCCTATGTTTTATATTCTTTTAAAAAGAAATAGAATATTTTGCATTAACTGCTTGCATTTAAAAGCATATAAAAGTAATAGAATACAATAAATAACTGTAATCAAATATCAAAGTATGTTTCATTTCACAGCTTTCAAGTATCCAACAGATGGGTGTTATTCCACCTTTGACAAACATTTGAAGGGGCTATTTCAGTTATTCTTTGACTGGTATTTTTATAACTACCCAAAGCTAATTTTAACTTATTTTGTGTTAGATTTCTGATGTGTCATAAAGTTTCTTCAGGTAGTGAGGAAATGTGACTTTTTTTGTGGAGTATATCATTGCATCAAAACTTGGCATCCACCTAGGCTAAGAAAACTGTCGGTTCCCTAGGGAAATGCTTCTAGAAGGTAACTGGTTTTTAGGTAGTATACCCACTAATTAAGTGTTTTCGTTTAGCTTGGCCTGAGGCAAAACGTTTCATGATATTTTAGGAGATCCTGGTAATCTAATTAATCTTATGAAAATAATACTAAAATTCGTTCTTTATTTCCCTATCCATAAAGTATATGGTGTTCCCTCCCTTCCATAGCTCCATCCCGGCACTCTTAGTGGCAACTGTCAACTGCATCGTTAAGGGGGACAAAGACTGGCTTGTTGCCATTCCAAGGGGTGGTGGGAGCTGGTGCCCTGTTCCACCAGAGGCAGAGCAGGTGGGGTAGTCTTCCTTGTGGAAAAACTCCCCCAAGACCTGAGGACTTTTTGTGAAGAAGAGGTGAATTCAGTTGACACCAGCAAGCTTTTGCTTCTTGTCACAGCGGCTACGGCCGTGATTCAGTCGTTGTCTTCAAAACCTGTCAAGGCAAGACCAAGGAATGGTCCAGGGGCTCCATATGGAAGGGTCTCAACAGCCTTTGGGTTCCTGGGGAGGAGGAATCAGTAACTGAACTCTAGCGTAGAAGACGGACTTCCTGATCTCCTGCCCAGGGAGGGAAGGTGCTGGCAGCTATAGCAGACTGTTGCTAATCTAAATACCTTGGGTCAACATCATTGTCCAGATGGTTGAAAGTTGGTGTTATTGTGGGGTGCTCCCATGTGTAATATATATTCTGCAGACATTCCAGAGGTTTTTTCCTCTGAAAGTGGAAATGCTGCCACAGCTGTAACAAAAGCTATTCAGATCTGCACAAGCAAAGCACTGTATGCTTCCTACCTTGCAGATGTATACTATTTTTATGTATCTCTTGTTTTTATTTAATTCCTATTAAGTGTTTGTGTTGATGAGTAATTAGAACTGGGACTGAAATGCCATCCTTTTGAATATGCCATTATTTTGTTTAGGTTTTTTTTCCTCCTAAAATCCATTCATATTTCAAGGTACTGGAAGGCAAAATATTTTGATGTCCATCTTTGCAGAATATATCCCTGAATTAATAAGGAAGTAATAATTTTAGTTAGGGCTATATTTAAAAAAAAAAAAAAAAAGTGAAGGCAGTGCAGTGAGCTTAGTTTTCCATTTTTATCTATCATAGATGTAAATAATTCAAACATATAAGCATGGGAAGAAGTTGACAGTTTGAAACTGTGACTGCATGAGTCTATAGGATAATGTTAAAATTTTCTGTGTGCTTCAGTTTGACTTTCTTTAGAAAAAGCTTGGTTTTGCTGAAGTATAAACCAACTAAAAGTTAGTATTGTTTTCCACTGAGCAGCCATGCTAAACTAGAATGTTCATGTATTTCATGAGTATGCGTATGTAATTAAGCAGCCACTAATTTCGTTCTCTTTGGGAAATACTTCTGCAGATCAGCACTCCATATATGAAGAGTTAAGATCGTATCATCTGTTGTTTAAGGTAAGGATAAGGACAGACATTATTATTGTTTTATAATAGATTCTTAATCCTTTGTTCTGTGAAGTGTTGACGTTTTCATTGGACTTAAAATATGTTGCATGTTTACAGAAAGCCTGAAATCTCAATATGTGGCCCTATCAATTTTAATTATTTGAATCATTAGAACATCTAATTTTTTGCTTAAGGGTACACAAATGTACCATTGAATCTGTTTTTTAAGGTTTTTTCCAGTTTAATGTCTGAATCCAAATTCATAAAGAGTTGGAAAAATGAGATGTCTGAGCTATAGGATTCACAGGGATTTTATATGAAGCCTATTTAATCAGGATAACACTGTTATTAATATTCATAAAGTCAGCTGGAACACAAATGACAGACTATGGAGCCTAAAATTTTTTACTTGTGAATTTATTAAAAGCAGCTTAAAAAATTAATGGAATTTAAGTAAAGTTGACAAAAATGAAAATCTTATGTTAGCAGAAAAAATCTTTATTAGAACTTTCTCTAAGACCATCTTGCATTGATATCTTTGACAGATTTCATTGGTACTTAAAGAAGAAAGATGCATGAATGGTCATTTAAAAGGATTTAAACACATTGGCACATTAATTTTTACATGAATAATAAGTAGTTTCCAAAAGCAATTAACTTACAGTGTACAAGATTTGAATAGAAAAATAGGACTTTGACATCAAAGGGCAAAGCAAATGTGCTGTACATTTTAAACTTTTAATAATACGACTTCTTAAAATATTTTATTTCATTTCCACAATGGGTGAGGTAACAGTGAAGGTGTTTGTGTACAGCCTGGGTTTGTTTTGAAATACGCTGAGATCTGGAACAAAGAAATGTTTTGATGCCAAGGTGCTATTGGTAAAGAACAATTTCAGGCTCTTACAGTGATCGGGTGCTTCTGAATCGAGCTTTCTTACAGTCAATTTCTATGTGTGGAAAATAGTCATATACACTGTGGTCAATATGATTTTATTTTTTTTTTTTTCTTCCCTCAAGCTGCTATGTGCAGCACTGGGAAGCATTTGTTATTTTTGTAGAGGTTAAAATAGGTAGATCTGGGATTTCTTTCATTAGTAGGAAGATCCTGGTTAATTCACATTCATATTTGTAGGTAGTTTTCTACTTAAATATTTAGTGTGAATTTTGTGTGGCTATTGCTATTATATTCAACAGATAAGGACAATTACTTTCTTTTAGCTTTCTATGCATGATGTTCAAGTAGTCGTCTTAACACTATTGCAGGTTGAATAAATAGGTAGTGAATCAGGAAACTAGTATTTAAAATTAACTCTAGATTTTGGGTTACAGTTTCATTTTGCATTTCACTTTTCTCTCAGTTCACCAGTATATTTTAATCTCCAGCTTTAATTTCTTTTTATTATTAGACAAATTGATTATTAACAGATTGACTTAAAATGAAAGTAAAGAAAAGCTTTAAAATAATTGTATTTAATTCTTCTATGATTCCTCCTGGGAAAATCTTCATGGCTAACTTCTGATTGTTGTTGATGTGGCAAAGTTTAACACTGTCTGAATAATGATGGTTCAATAAGTTTTGGTTCTCAAAATACCTTATGTCTGAAGTACCCGCTCTAAAGGTACATCTTCAATGATGTGTAAGTGCTGTGCATAAGTTAGATACCTATTGCAGCATTTGTGTTCAGAACAACCGATTTACATACTTGGTATATGGAATATTTTGTTGTTCTATGTACTAACATTTTTATTTCTAATTTTTATTAGACATTAACATTTTTATTTTCTAATACTAGGGAAAGTATACTGCAAACCCTAGAGAGCCCAAAAGATCTTTCCATTTGACTTCGATAGGTTGCCTTAATCTGATATCAACAATATTTTTATTTTCTGTATGTGTAAACCAGAAAATTCCTATTAATTAGCAGAACGTATTTCACCTCTGAAGACAAAGTCTGTAAAATGAGCCTCTTGACTCCTGTCTCTAATTATTCCCGTGCCATAGTCTGTTATTTCCAGGAGAGGGCAGCATTTTCCTACATCAGGTACACGAAGGCACATGCCCTGCTTAGACTGTCAATGTTTCTTGTAATTACTCCCAGTATATTTGTTGCTTGCTTATGAATTAACTTGCATTTATGGAACTAAATCATTCCAATCATTTAATTACACCTGAGGAGCTGAACTATAATTGCTTGCTTCCAACTAGGATCTGATATGGCTTGAGCAGTATTAATTTGGTGTTTACTTTTCTGAGTGCTAAAAGCATTAAAATGATTGTGCAATGGGATTACATTTTACTAATTGCTGGCATTCATTAGCTGGGTAAATGGCGAGGAAGAATGACTGTATATTGTGGAGGGATAAAATTATGGTTTTAAATAGTATATTACTAGGCACATTAAGGCCCTAAGACATGTTTTAAAATACTCCAGAGGTTATTAAATACCGTATTTTCTTCATGTCTTGCTATATGAATATCTTATTAAAATACTGCAATTATTATGAACCTTTTTGTGCAATATGTAGGGA